TAATGGTGTTAAGGCATTACAAACATTCTACAACTTACCATAATCTAAAATCTTATGATCCATCAGTCGCCGCTTTTGTGGTTCTTATTTGGTGATGGAATATTGGCGGACGAATCATGAGTAGCTTATGTAAAAACAAAGTATGATGATAGCTATATTTTCTGTTGTGGCCCACATAAATTTATCCATATGAAAGATGAGTTCGAATCTTTTTTTTTTTTTCTGGTGCCGGATAACTACGCGAAGTGGTACCACCGGTCCACCCTAGCCTTGGCACGATGATAGCTCAGCTGTGCATTTCGAGTGTTATCCGATACGATCTTTACCAGTAACGAGGGATAACCCTGAAAATATATAGGCTACAAGCAAAAATAGTCGCTAAACTATTGAATATATGAAACACAACAAGTTTCAAACCTTTCACCAACACGACTTCACATTAGTCTCTATAACCAAATCATAATGAGATAATTCACAAAAACATGCTTCCAAAATACTTATTATATTGGATGCTTCATTTCCATTTTTAACTTGCTTCTATCCATTGTCTATTCTCACCCGCCAAATTACCAGCAACAGCAAGTCATAACTGATCGTTAGTCCTTAACTCCTTATTAGTTATTACTTGATTCTACATGTACAAAAATAGCCAGACTTAGTTATAGTCACTGGTGGCTAAAATATCTTTAGGACTTGATTAACAAAACAAATATTGACCGAATGACCTGCTTGGTCGGACCAGTGAAAACTCGACCTGACCTTGTGAATCGGACCGGTGGACCAAAAACCAGGACCACACTAGGGAAGTATTCGTACTTGAACTAACGTCTTTTGGCTTTACGTCATGATGAGTGGACCAATCTAGGTGGTGGATGAATTTACCTCCTCGTGAGCTCTCTCTATTCTGTAATTGCAAGGACACTCATTCTTCATGTTTTGCAGTTTTTGTAACTCTGACAAACTATAAGGTTATATGAATAAACCAAAATTTATAAATACTATCATTCACGTATAAAGAAAGACCTCCCCATGTTGAATTCAGCTTTGTACGTCAGTGTTTCAGAAAGAAAGTGAATAATTACAAAATTAGAAAGTATCAAACCAAAAGAAAGAAAAACGCTAAAAAAGTAAATATCTGATATTCAGATTCACTCGAAAGTACAATACCCTTTAGGGAATATATGTTTTGTAAACGTTTCATCAATATAGATGAAAATTAAGGATCCTAATAACTGCATTTAGTCAATAGTAACAAGTACCATTACTTTGTTTTGCAAGTCGCAACACAAGTGCATGTGGTGATTGGTGAACACATAGTCAACATTGAGACTCTCGGTAGCTACATAACGATTCTTGAAAATGAGATAAATCAGAAAATTGATAGTAATTCACTTATTCATTTATAAAAAAAAAATTTTTGGCAACATTAGTATATAGAAATTTGTAAATTACATAAGTACCCTTTTATAAACGTAATGAGACATTTGTGTATATATATGTTACAAAATAAGCCAACATATCCATTTGCTCGAGACATTTATTCTCTTAATTCTTCTCTCTCTCTCTCTCTTAAAAATGCCAAAAATCTTGTGGAAAAGCCTCCATCTTTGCTTCCCGTCAAATCTCACCAAATGCTATTCTTCGCCGTGTATTCCTCCGTCCTCCGCCGATCCCGACGGTATCATCCAACCTAACCGTCCCTCCATCGTTCTTCTCAATAACTTCAACCTCCTTTACCACAATGACAACCACCACCACCCCCATCGTGTCATTGACTTACCTTCTTCCTCCACCACAACCACTCCGGCCGCCACCTCCTCCTCATCCACGTCATCATATGAATCTGATATCTCTCCTGATGTATCCGCCGCTTTTGCTTCCCGTCGCTTCTTCTTCTCTTCCCCTGGTCGGTCCAATGCAATCACCGACTCACCAGAACCCCGGTCAAGAGAATTCTCTGATAATTACGATGATGCCACTATCACGTCGACAAAGAAGAAGAAAAAGAAGGTTTATGATAATTCCGTGACTACTACTACTACGAGGCTTATAAGCGGAGGAACCGCCGTAACTCAACACGTGGACTCACCGGATCCGTTAACTGACTTCCGGCGATCCATGCAAGAGATGATTGACGCCGCCATCGACGCCGGAGAACTTAGTCGTGATCCGAACGACGGTTACGATTTCTTGGATGAACTGCTACTCACTTATCTCTCTTTAAATCCAGCCGACACACACAAGTTCGTCATCAGGGCTTTCTCCGACATATTGGTCTCACTCTTGTCGGAAGAACGCCGGATATGCTGACGTGGTGATGGCCGCCGGGATAAAAAAAAACTCCCGTGCAATGAATGCAACACGTGACTATTAGTTCAGTGAACCTAACTTTCTTTTTTCCAATGTACGTCTTCATGGAAGAGTAACTAAGCAAACCAGAAAAAATTATTACTGACAATTTCATATTTTGTATGTTTTATTAAAATAATTGAATGATGCAAAGGATAGAAGAATTTTGAGATAATTCATATATTTGGTTGGATAATATAAAGTTAGATATTTTATTGACGAAAAGAACTTCTTTTAAATGGTTTATAGTTTTAAAAAACAAAATTCGTTAATATAAACCGCACAATATAGCAAACCGGGATATCAAAACTGGTCCACTCCATGATTGAGTGAAACAGACATAAAAACATGTTTTTGTGTTGAACATCACTATTGGCAAAAAAAAAGAAAAGTATTAGAACTAGAAGTGAATTTCTAATGTGATATGAATAACAATAACTTGGTTCGGAGGTAGAAGTAATTAAAGAAATGGTTTAAACGTTAAAACTTATGAATTAACAAATAAATCAAAGCTAAATACGTCCAAAAAACTTTATGATAAGAGTTAAAATGGAACTTGGTTGGATCAATGAAGCATAAGGTTGAGTAGACAACAATATCACCAAGGTACAAAGCTTGAGGCATCGATAAACTCTCTAGTTGCTTATATTATGTCAAGGCATGCATGGATCGTGTTTTAAATATTACTATGTATCCATACTTTAATAAAGAGGCATATATAGTTAATGTTTCTACAATATATAAAGTAAAAAAAGTAGAAGTTTTTACTTTCTGTATGTTGCCTCAGTTCTTAATGTTGCCTTCATGGATGTATATGTATTATCGTTAAGACAACAAAAGGATGCTACTTTTTTGCTTGTATAGTTGTATTGTTTTGTTTCTGTACAAAATATATAGACTCTGTAATATTGTTTTTTTTTTTGTGAAGAAGTAATATTGTTTGTTACATCAATTAAATAATGAAATCTATTATTTTCCTTTGCTTCTTTCCATAAGATTTACACGTAACACAATGTGAGACAAAACAAAATAATTGAGAATCCTAAGAGACGGATGTTGGAAGGTCCACTCGACCAAATAAACTTAAAAAATGTAGCTAATACTTTAAAATAAGGGTCTAATTAAACAAAGTATTATAAGTTAGTTGGTTTAGGTGAAAGTAAGACCATGCCATTTGTCTTATTGATCAGTGTTCACTAAAGAATTAAAACTAGCCTCTAGACCCGCTCAATTGCGAGTAAAACACTCAACTTAATCTAATTAGTATAAGATTATACATTTCAACTATAAAGGGCTAAATAGCTCATATTTGTTAACACTTTGAATTCATTAGTGAACTAGCTAAATCTCATTTTTGCAATGAAATCAGCATGTCTTTTATTGCATGAAAGGTGCTTATGGGCGAAGTTGCAACTAATTTTTTTTTTTACTTTTGGTAAAAAAGTTGCAACTAAATTTGACTATGATGAGTTTACAATTTACAAAAAAATAATAAAAAATGACTATGATGTTATATATTTATAATTAGAGAAAATGTGCGTTTTGTTAAATCGTCATGTATATGTAATAACTGACTATGATTTTATCGTAAGTTAAACGACTCAAAACGTGAGCAATCTTAATTATACTTTTCGAGTTGGTAAATGGTGCCTTGTTTTCTGCCGCTTGTCTCCAACTCTGCCTAACCACTTGGTTGATAATGATAAGTCAATAGAACCTATGCCACAATGTTTATGCGTGTGTGTGAGAGAGAGAGAACAAATTTGGGTCAAACGTACAGTAGAGTTTCATATGTCCATTTGACCATTTCGGTGCGAATTGAAGGTCATTTAGATAGGAAATTATCTGTCAACCACCTCACTGTTTTAAACGAATCAGAAAAAGAATCCGAGAAGAAATAATTTGCTTACTAGCTAGATTTAAGTGTTGAGATTTTTTTCAATGCAATTGCCATTTTCTTAGCCAAGCCTTTCTCCGAAATATCCCGTAAATCACAAAATACTTGTGATTACATCCCATAACGAGAATACATTTTATAATGGTCTAATAAACTCAAAAACTATAATAGTGTATAAATAATTTGTCGTTGAAATTAGCAAGTTGCCGTAGTCAATACAAATCATGTGATATCACATGTTACGACTTACGAGTTTAGACGATTTTTATTTATTTACTTATAAATGGATCCATGCATGTTATTTTCTGCAAAATTATACAATCACTTTTGAGTCCAATAACTTAAAGTTCCACACCTACCTAAATATGGGTCAATCTCAAGATATGAGATCACTATCGAGACAAAATAAAAAGTTTGATACTCATGCACTGCATTTGGATTTCTTACCTTTCCTATCAAAATTAAAGTTATACGCTTTATTGAATTGTCAACAACATCCTAAGCACTAATGCCGTGAATATTTGGGTTACTACTATGCCTTTACCGGATCACCACATCTTGCCTCGGCCGAGCCTCACATTCATTTTGTTGCGATTTCCATAATTCTTTAGAGTCAAATAAAACGATCCGGCCATGATTCATGGTGAGCAATTCCCTTAAAAGGAAACAAAAGTGTGATCACTTGATTCAGGAAAATTAAGGAAAGTAATCAAATTAATTTTTAAATTGTAGAAAAATGAAAACAAAATATCCAGCTGGAATAGCTCAGTAGGTTTAGAGCGTGTGGCTGTTAACCTCAAGGTCGGAGGTTCGACCCCTCCTTGCAGCGAATTTTGATTCTTTTAACCTATTAATCCCCCAATATGAAAAAATTCATTCAATATAATCCATATAATGTCCTACTCGATAAAAGTGTTGACCTTCCAAATTTGCCAAGTTTTAATGAGAAGCTCAAAAACAGTTAAAAACTTGCAACACAACATATCAGAAGCTCAAAAGAAAGTGTCCAAAGTCCAAACTCTCTAGTTTATTATACAATCTGCAAAGCATTATTACTTCATTACACACATAAACATTGTTTACCACTTCAACGACAAACCCCAAAACACACACAAACTTTACAAACTCTTTTCTATACGAAGCATCCTCGTATCTTACATCTAATCTAAAATCTATCACCAACACCATTTTATTTTAATCTTACATCTTTCTCTGAAGAGTAATCAAATCAAGAGTAGCTCCATATTTCACATTCAAAGCTTGAGCACACCAACCATGTCCATCATCAACCGTAGGCATCCTCACCTCAATCACAGGAACCACTGGACTCGAAGATCCCGGCATCAAAACAGCTGCGAAAACCCGTAAAGCATTTGATGCATCAATGTCCATACACACATTGATCTCTGGAACACCTTTCGGTGCTGGCGGAATCCCAACGAGCTTGAAATAACCAAGAAGATGATTCTCTTCAACAGTCTCTCCTTCTCCTTCGTATATAATGATCAGAGCTTCCTTCTGGTTGTCTTGAACCGTTGTGAAGAAGAGGTCTTTCCGCGCTGGAACCATTGTGTTACGCGGAATCACGGGTATGAATTTGTTTCCGTTAGCTCTTACTCCAACTGCAAGAGGTGTGGCTTGTATGGTTAACAGATCTAAGCTCCCAAAAGGATCATGAATCCCTGAAGTCACCGCACCTTCCAAAGCAGCTCCTCTAACCGCAGCTTCTAAAGGATTCACGCCTTTGTATATCTCATCCTTCTTGCATACGTTCTTGATAATAGTTCTTACTTTCGGGATGTACGAACACCCTCCAACCATTATCAAATCATCGATATCACCACCATTGACTCTCGCATCTCGCAGGCACTGCACAACAAGTCTCTCACATTCCTCAAATACCTTCTGGTTCACTTCCTCAAACTCTAACCTATCAAGAACCTTGGATATCTTGTTACCATTTCCCAAATCCACTTCAATTTGGACATTTTCTTGATCCGTTAGCCTGTGAATCGCGTCCTGTGCCGCTACACGAAGCAACCCCGAAGCTTCTTCATTAGGTGGAGCGATATGGCGAATTGTGTTCTGCAAAATGTCTTCACCCCCAATGGGGCTACCAGCTAAAGCTTTTATCTGTGAAACACCACCAGCAGTAGCAGTAACCGCAACATCGCAGTAACCAGCTCCCATATTGAATATAACCGCAAGCCTCTCGCTTCCGCTTCCCATGTTATCATGCGTAGTCATCTGCTGCTGTTGCGCATAAAGCAACGCAATAGCAGTTGGTTCCGGCATCAAACGAAGAACATGAAGTCCAGCCATAGCGCAAGCTCTTTCGAACCGTGTGAGCTGGAACCTAGAGAACGAAACCGGAACCGTAAGCACTACATTTCTCACAGGACGTTTCAACTGAGCTTCAGCCATCAGACGTAACTCCACCAGAAATATAGCTAAAACTTCCTCTGGTGTTGTTGATCTCCAAGCATTGTTCACCAAAGCTGCAATAAACGGTCTAACTCCAATATCAAGAGTTTGAACCAAGAAAGGAAGGTTCTTGCTAGCGTGAACCACAGGATCAGTGTCTACACGACCAACGAGCCGCTTCATGTTGAAGATAGCGGCTCCGGTTAGCATTTCCTGCTCATGTGCGAGCTGGTTGCTAACACCACCAGCAGGAACTTCATCTTTGAAAGTGACAAATGATTTGATGAGCTTCTGGTTTCTTGTGTTCCTCAAGATGTGAACTTGAGAACCGTTCCAAACAGCTATACTGCATTGAGAAGTACCAATGTCGATACCAAGGGCGATTTCGGGTAATGAAGGAGATGATGATGATTTCTCCTCTCCAGTGTTTTCACTGTCTGATGCTACTGTGTATGCTGCTTCTGCCATTTCCTGCAATAGATTTCTGATTCAGGATTCAAGATTTATCAACACAATCAAAGATTTATCCTTGAGTTCATCACTCAACATTCAAAACAAATTAAGAACCAATTCTAACACGAACTGAAACTAATTTCAAAGTGTCTTGTAGGATTTTATCAGGATTTTACAGTCGTACGATTCCACCCAGATAAAGATTCAAAATTGACAAATAAACTTGCAATCAAATTAAGGATTAGACTAATAATCAGAAAATCTAACAATTGCAATTTCAATAAGTACAAGAACTGAGCTAAAACCAAACAAAGTATTATTCAAAAAGAGAGGACTCGGAAAGAACAAACCTGTCACCACCGAAAGGAGAGATTTTTGACAAAAGGGTTTGTTTTTAGCAGTTGCGGGATTAGAACAAAATGTTTTGTGAGTGAAGAGAAGAGGGAAGCGAAGAAATAGAGCAGCTTTTAAGAAGGTGCGAGAGAGAGATTGTTACTGTGCTTCCTTGGTCTTCTAGAGTTTGCTAGAGAAAAGAGGAGGGAGTTCCTTTTTTTTTCTCGCTAAATTAATTTGCCGACCCAAGAAAATAATTTACTTTACTATTTTTCTCTAAAAAATGGGCCCATTTGAAGTAAACTTGTATATATATATTAATTTTAACAAATCATATGGGCCTGTAGAATAGTACTGGCCCAACTCTAGATCATAAATTATAATATTTGTTTCAATTAGTTCTTTTCCTCTAAATTTTTCAATGAATTAGTATATCAATCAGTGTGTTTATTAATTACATATATGAAAATTGGCCAATGCATATACAGAATATCAAAGAATTAGCATCAGAAACTCCAATCGTCAAAGAAGTTTAAGAAGAGGATTTTCTTGGTCATTGTGCTTATTTCTCTTCGCCTTAAGGGATTAAATTTCATCATCACAAGATGAGATTTCAAAGTAATCAACGTTAAGAGATGCATAAATTATGCATCTTACGTGATTGGCGTTTTTGGCCAACATATGCTTTAAGACGTGAGCTCTCAACAATTTCCAGTTTATCGATTTATATGTACATGATTGTGCTAAGAAGTATCTAGAATGTTCATCTGATCATAAAGGCTCAAACCTAAATTTATACCAATATACCAATATACCATAGTCATTCGATTTAATCAAGAATTGCGCTATGTGGCATAGTCATTATGAAGTATAGGCTCTCGGAAAGCCATGAAATCAAGTGTGCTTCTCGCTAGAGTTCCAAATTATATACAGTATGGTAAATGATCATTTGTTTAGCTTTGGTTTTTAATATTGTTGGAGACTTTTACTTTGAAAAAATTGCATAATGTGTTTATATTCTTGGTTGATGTTTATGTGGCCAACAAGGCAACAATGCTGGTTTTTTGGTGTATAAAATAACAATATTAGCATGATAATTAATAGGGTTGTCTCACTTAACTTTTTAAATTTCTTGGTCACGGACGTTGAATAGTTATTTTGCAAAATTTCTACAAAAATTCGTTCAATGTCAACTTAAAAGCAAGCTCGGCTCATATCTAAAGTCCAACAAGTTAGTGAAAATACAATAATTTCAATTCAAGCGATGAGTCAAGTAGCTGTGAGTTTCTTCTCCAACGATTTATTCATCACCAAATTCTCTTCAAGATTCATCTTCAACTCATCGATCTTCACTTTCTTCTCCGTAACTTCAAATTCAAGTCTCTTCATCGCGATTTCATAAGTCCTCATCAAACTCTGCTGTTCATGGATCTCAGCTAACATAATCGCAACTTTTGGTGAAAGATTCAATTCCTTCCTCATAAAACTCCGTTTAAGCTCCGATAAAGTTTTTAGTTCATTAACTACCACCGTATCCGCCGCTTGTATAGCGTCGCTATCGTACGGACTTTGAGCCCTCTGAAGCTCTGCGTAAGCAGCTTTAATGGAAGTTGTACTAGCGAAGATCTTCGCAACCACCGCTTTAAAATGGCAGTCTCCGTCGTCATCTTCATCGTCGAAATTTGGATTCTGTGACTTAAACGTACCGACTCCGACTCCATTGTTGGAGGAGACCTTCCTCATCGTCGACGTCGAAACTCTATTACATGTAAAACATATGTTATACGGACGATCATTTGATCATTTTGTTACCCTTAATATATAGGCTATTGTTTTTTTAATATATGATACACCTTGTAACGAAAATATCAATCTGTGGTGTATCGCGGGTCAATATCTAGTTAAGTGTAAAAGTGATACATGATTAAGCTTAAATACAAGTAAACTAAATCAAAATACTAACGAATCTAAACCATAACTAAACCAACTATATACACTCTAATATGATGGTGGAGTCGGATGAGATGCCGAGAACTCCAGCCCACACTTGCTTCCTCACCTTTGATCTCCTCGGCTGATTCTCAAGGGAGCTACCGCTTCCACTGCCACTTCCACCACCTCCTCCGTTACTACTCCGTATAAGCTCCGATAAAGTTTTAACATCAACTACCACCGTTTCCGCCGCTTGTATAGCGTCGCTATGCGCCCTCTGAAGCTCTGCGTAAGCAGCTACAATGGAAGTTAAACTAGCGACGAGCTTCGCAATCAACGCTTTTAAAAGGGAGTCTCCGTCGTCATCTTCATCGTCGAAATTTGGTTTCTGTGACTTAAACGTACCGACTCCGACTCCATTGTTGGAGGAGACCTTCCTCATCGTCGACGTCGAAACTCTATTACATGTAAAACATATGTTATACGGACGATCATTTGATTATTTTGTTACCCTTATATTATTCATATCATATACGAGTGAATGAAACTGTAGTATGAGAAATGGTCTAATTAATGTTTTAACTATATGAAAAAAAGGCTCTTACTCTGGTGTATCGTACATATCGGTAGTGAGTTTCCTTTCAGAAACCACGAAACAGTCGTCAATTTCTTCTCTATCTCCATTTC